TCCAGTGCTATCGATCACTTTTAGCATATCACTTATTGCGTGTCGCTGGTTCGCCACATCAAAACGCAAAAATATCACAGGGAAATTGTGTGTTAATGAAAGCATGTGTCAATCAGTGTATACTGAGCAGATCGTGCAACAAGTGACCCCTGTGATGTATTGTGGTGACGGTTGACGCTTATCATCCGATTGAGTCGTCACTTCCATAGTGACTGTCGCAAATCAAATGATGAGTGCACTTGCTGACCATTCAGTGAGACCGTTACCTCACAGGACCGCAGTCAACGAGTCTACATTTGCACAGATAGTCAACCAGTTTCAATCCACCAATACATCATCATATGCATCCGGTCACACGCCCAACCACTGACACGCGCATACACGCACAAGCACGCTCGCGTACACATTAATTTCACAGTACCTACACACCTCATGCTTGTCGATCGGTCAACAACTCTCTTCTAACATGATGTTTTCATTTGTTGTAGTATCATCTGGCCCCACCATAAAAGTCGGTGATGATGATGATGACGAAGAGGAGTTGACGGATGGAACATCTGATAATGTTGATGACAATGACGATGATGGTAATATAAAGGGATTGGACATAGTACTGTTACCCGGCAACTATGTTCACCGAAGATATGGTCAATACAGATATGGACGTCGTTATAGATGTGGTCGATATGGACGCTGCGGTCGACGTTACCACCGCCCCTACTACTACTACTACTACTACAACTACTAATGATAGATGGCCGATCGAACTGAGACAAATCTGCTCGTCATTCACTCCAATGTGCACCGATTGTCATCACTTCATTCACCATCAATCGGCTCTCCACAACATCAAAATCTCCACTTACATTACTCTTAGTCACTAGCATATTGTTCGCCTATTCATTCAACTGTTCAATAAATATTTACTTATTGTCAATTGTGTTCACTTGTGTTGCATATTCTATCGGTTGATCGTTTTGAACGTGAAGTAGACATCGTTGTGATTCGATGTAGTGGTAGTTGGACACGGTGTGTGTGTGTGTGTGTTTGTGTGATAAATAGTGTGTGGTGGGCAATGTAGACGAGATTGGTGTTAGTCGGATATAGAGTGGCAGTGCGTGCAACTAACTGCAGTCGAATATAGACACTCACAGTTGACGCGTCGAAAATAGTTCATGAGATCTATTGTCATGAATAATTAGTCGGTTGTAGGACACAACGAAATAGCTCACTGCAAGCTATCTTGAAACGAGAACGATTTGTGATAAACAAGGATTGTAAAGTTACCAGTTACACTGAATAGCAGCGAGACAGGTGAGTAGAGCACTAAAGGGAACTCTTGAATCGACCAGCTCCAGGGAACACACTCGGTGTCAAAGCAGCATTTACGGACCTCCAAGTCTATTTAGGCCTATCAACAATTAAGAGATCAGTATGGCCATCGGAAAAATCAAGAGGAGCAGAGTATATTATAGTATATTACGCACAGCGAAAGCAGTCGAACATAAGAAATATCTTCCGATTTTCATTACGAGTTGACAGCTTTCGTTTCACATAATTGACCTGTTTACTTAAAATACGTTCTCCGACACCTTTTGATCTTATTTTAAGAGTTTGCTTAAACAGTATTCAAGCGTTTGTCAAAACAATCAAACAGATATTCATTATGACTAGATGACGCTGATTCACTTTATGGTTGAGATGAAGGTGTTTCCAACTTGCATACTTCTACAAGATAAATCAATCAAATAATCTTCAGTAAGATAGAGGCAAGACGTCAACAATATCTGAACTGTTATGAAATAAATCTGCTACAAAAGTCGTATTTATAACAAAATGATAATAATGTTTATTTATGAAATAAATGAGTAGTCAACCAGAATACGGTGGAAAGATGTTTAGTTGTTTGTTATTATTTCGTTGGTTACGTAACTGGTAGAATACTGAAAACTATAATCAACTTCTAACGTTCGGTGTTGTCATTTGTACAGTGGTTGGCGTTACTCAAGTAGAGAATATAAAAGTCGCGACTAAGTGTACTACCCACAATGTCAATTACCCTTGAAGATATAGAATCTTTAGTGGAACGTTAAGGAAAACGATATGAACAGTTCCAGGGAAGTATGTTGGAGATGTTAATGAAACAAATGAATCGGAATCACAGAGGTTTTCCGATTTTTCATATAATCCACATACAGACTCGATAATTAATTCTATTCATGAATTTCATTTTGATGGCCTTGCTGGTGTGAATTTCGAGTCTAGGTACATGAAGTATGAGGATTTGTTCAATGTCGACCTCAACAAACTTGATGACGCCGCTAAAGTCAGAATACTCTTGAGAAAGCTCGTCACAATCGAACACGAACGTTATAATAATTTCATCCTCCCAAAGAAGCCACGAGATTTCTCTTTTGATGCTACAATTGAAACGCTGTCGCAAATCTTCGCTGAACAGTCATCTCTCTTTAATATTCGCTATCAATGCCTCAAAATAACTAAGTCAAGTGAAGATGACTGGGTAAAACGCACCGGCTTAGTAAATCGTGAATGCGAACGATTTAAACTAACATCAATGACAGAAGACCAGTTTAAGTGCCTTGTGTTTGTGTGCAGCTTACAATCTCCCGAAGATGTTGATATAGGATCCAGAAACTTGAGTCAAATTGAGCAGTGTTTAAACATCTCGCTGCAAGAAATAAGTACAGAGTGTCACCGATTAGTAAATTTGAAGCATGATACCTACATGGTCGAAAACAATAGCCGACCATCATACGTGTATGCTGTTAGTGAAAAGAAAGATTCCGGCTCACGAAAGCATCACAAAAGCATCGACAACCAGCTGGTTGGTCATGTGAAGGTTGGCACTACAAGAAGTTTTGTCCATACAAAGAATATTTTTGCACTAAATGTCACAAAAAAAATGCCACAAAGAAACCCGATGTAAAAAAAAAACTCGCATACATTACTCCGCGAAAGTCTATTCCAAGAAATACAGATCTGATAAGACAATAAACAAAGTATTGGTTTCTCATAACCAGACAAGAATTCACTACAGAAGAAAGTATGTGACTTCGGATGTAAACAGACACCGTATCCGTCTTCAACTTGACACAGCATCTGATATCACCCTTATCAGTCCAAAAACTTGAGAGAAAATTGGAAGACGTACAGTTCACCAAACGAAGCAACTAGCACACAGTGCATCTGGTGGCAAGCTAAATATTGTTGGGGAAATATTGAGCACTGTTTCAAAAAATGAGGCAACAACGAGTGCAATTGTATACTTAACTAAGAACCCAGACCTTGATTTATTGGGGTTGGATCTGATAGAGGCAGACTATCCTATCAACAATATCTGCAGCCGAGTTAGAATCAATAACCCTTTAGAGTCAAGTTTGAGAAATGCCATTATAAAAAGGCATCATCACGTATTTTCGGAAGCGTTGGGCGAATGTACGAAAGCCAAAGCCCTACTGACTCTCAAGTCAACAGCTATTCCTGTTTTTCGACCAAAAAGACCTGTACCTTATGCTTCTCTTTCAGTAGTTGAACAGAATCCTAATGCCGAAACTGCCTTTCGTGTTGACAAGCCGCAAAAAACCATTCGAAATGCGAGCCCCAACAATGGCAGAAACCTAATGGACCTTGGGAGAGAATTCATGCAGATTTCGCTGGCCCAATCCAAGGTCAAATGTTTCTGATTATTGTAGATGCGTATACGAAATGGCCAGAAAAATACAGCATGCCGAATTGTACAGCCTCGGAAACTATTCAGAAGCTGTCTACATTATTTAGTTGTTTCAGAGTGCCAGAACCCTTGGTAACTGATAATGGATCACAATTTGTTGCGGACTCATTCAAGCGATTCTGCAGTTTGAATGGCATAACTTATCTACGGTCCCCACCTTACCATCCCCAATCCAATCTATGCAACATTACATCGAGCTTCTTTGCAAAGAACTATGTCGCTGGAGAACTTTTAATCGAAGACATTCCTAGCAATAATCAAATTAAAGTGAGTATTCTATTGATAACTGTGACGGTCTATCAATATGTTAGACTGAAACACGCTTTAAAGTAAGTCAAAATACTTTAAGCTTCCCAAAGCCACTAATAATAACGATGAAGTCAATAATCAAAGCGACAGAAAATCTAAATTGCAGTAGTTATCTACTGAGCAATTACGAGGTTGTTTATCAGTGATGTCAAATTTTGAATTAAAACATGTTTGAGTTTTGTATCTCATTCAACAGAACGCTGAGTTGATACTACAGTGGTCTCTGTCACTGCCTTCTGTTGTAGGTTGAGTCTTTGTTCAGTAATAATTATCGAATCAAGTTGTGCTAAAAAAGCAGCTGTTTCGAGTAATAAAATCACAAAGCAGAAATGATAGTATACACTTTTTACTTGAATAAAGTAATATAATAGGGATTACATTTAATGAACGAGTGAGTTATTGTAGTCAGTGTAGCACTATTTGGAATGACTTTCTAGAACGCCTATTTCATTATCATCTACACTGTCAGTACCTTAATTAAATAACCTCTATGATCGGTAATGCGTTGAAACATTTAACGTCTAAAATTTATTGGAAACAACTAGTTCCTTGTATTTTATAGAGTATAGTATTCAAATGCATTCGTACATTAGAGTTTTACCTTCAACAGTCCAACAAATTTCATCTAATCTGTGAGTATTCAAACGAGTTATTCATACAAATTATTTTCATAGTAAAATGTAGATGATAATTTTTAAGTGTAATGAGTGCTTACGTACAGTCTAGTTTATTTGAAATACGACGCAAAAATGTTTAAGTTTTTATTTCAAAATATATAAATTCACTTATGGTAGCAAGTCAGTAAATGAGTTGAAAAAACGTGATATCATTAAGTAAGATGTGCATTAGAATCTTTGCATTCTATTTGCACGGGTAAACAATTTTCATAAAGTTTACTATTTTTCTCTTCAGTTGCTTCTGGAAGTTATTAGTCAATCAAATGTTAACTGTGATACAACGGAGGAATCTATGTGTGTCAATTATAGTGTTCAATTATTTAAACCAAATGAATATAAAAATTACATTTTTGCTGCATTAAGTACAATTCAGTATAAATCAATCTATAATGTATTATACTTAAATTTTGTCGATTCACCAAATCAGTCACATTTTAAAGCACCATGGGAATCAGAATTTTCGAATGATACACAAATTTCAAAAGAAGCTATTGGACTATACGTTTGTATATGTATTTTGGCTGGAAGTAAGTTAAAGTACTTTGATAATACAAGCTTAAGTCTGTTATGAGTAATTTTAATATTCCTAAAGAAAATGAAGCAGCTATGTTAAATCTTCTTATTTAAAGCTTTGCAGAAACTGAATGTCATCATCATGTGATCCGAAATTTCAAATGTTAATTTTTGAAAGTGTATGAATGTGTAACGTTTTATGACCCGAATCCGGACCCAGAACCGGATACCTAGTTGGAATCCTGATTCTCTTTTGGACTCGGACGTCTTACTTTCTGGATGCTTGTAGAATACAGGTTCTACTTCACATCAGGTTTTCTTCTGTCACTCAATAGGGGCTTGGCACAATCGGATGAGAGTAGCTAGTAGTGTCGCCGGATCCATGATCCTCGCTCTCGTTTCCCGACTAGGGTCAACTCGTAAATAATGAAGTCAACTTTATTTCAGTTCGCATCTCTGATTAGTTTATGAACTGGTCTAAGATTTTAATTATGCAAACCTGAACTTATAAATAGCAGCAAATATTTAAAGATAGACTTAACCAAAATATACTGTTCATACTCACTTGTAACTTTTTATCAGTTGACCTCTAATATACGGTAATTTGTATATATTTTGAACAGATTTACATTCAGACAAAAATGAAGTTTTTCACTACTTGGACATATCGCATATGTTCTTGAAGTTTAATTTTTCTATGAAACTACTGTTTTTCAACAAAAGGTAAATGCGTTTTAGTGGAGTGATGCAGTATAGATTTGTTGATGAAATAGACTGATGTACATATACTAACTCAAATGAACGGAATAAATTAATGGAATTTACAGTAAAAACAGTCTTTCGTTTTATAAGTGAACGTCAATGTAGGCATGCAATATGAATAATCGACTTCTCGTTATATATTTTGTAACAGTTTAAGATTTGAAGTTAGTTTGAATGATTGTTCTCCCGTGGCTCCACACTTATGACTGACTAACATAACAAAATATTCCTTCTTTCAGCTGGCATTACAAGTACCGTATGGAGCTGATTTAGATCGAACTTCAATGTCGTTAGAAATTAGAGATGGTAAAACGTTGGATTTACAAATCTCTCACTGAATTAATTGCTACTAGTATAGTTTTGAACATAGGTAGTCACTTGTTAACGGATTGGAACTAATGTTTGAACCATAAACAACAGATAATTTTACATCTGAATAATAAATTTTCAGTACCATGATGCAATATTATATGTTCAGAAATTTCGTGCCTGAAGAGTTATGGAGTTTAGTTTAGTTTTTAAATTGTTGTAGATGAAATAAGAGTTGCGTTAACCAAACAGATGAATTCAGTTAGATTTTCATGGGATGTTGTTGTTGAAATGCAGTGAACAGAACGTACATGAAGTTATCAACCAGAGCTTATCAGATATACGTTTTCTACACTATCGAATAAAATGTGACTTATTTCAGTTTATTTTCAATGTTGAAAATCGTCTGACATTTTGTTTTATAAGAATGAGTTTAACTTTTCCGTACTGACCCCGTGATACGGAGATTGGTCGATCGGGCGTTAGACTGCATCTGATGGATGTATTTGAATCCTGCGTTGGCAGGAGTCGTAGATGTGCAATGCTGATGAGTCCCGTACCAGAACGAAATGACCGTCCAGTGCTTGCAGGCTTCTATTGGAGGTCGGATAATGAAAAATCTCCATAACTCCGTTACTCAATTTCTTCAGCTAATAATACAATGAAAAGTCATCCAGTTAGTACAGTATTTCCGGATTTTATAAATCACCATATATAAAATAGATGATATTGATTGACAGTAATTATAAAATCATTATTTTTTCCTTTCGTAGACTTGTGGAACAGATACTTCATGGAGTGATGATTTCTTGCCAGCCTGTAAAAAGAAACGTCTCACTCAAGTAAGTGATTTGTCATAATGTGACGAAAAAGTTGTTATTTTCAAGGAAAATTCCAGAAACTTTAAATATTAACTAAATCTTCTGGCTGGATGTCTCGATCCAGTGTGGTTGTTGCCAAATTAAATTTGTATGGAACAGTGAGAAGACGTAAATGATCTGAAAAATGTGATGTACTTGCGCTACACAATTCGAACAATATGATCACTCATATACCTGTCAAGGCATTTTCTATGAAGATTAATACGAGGTCAATTAAATAAAAGTTCAAACAGACATAAGGTGATAATTGTAAATAAAGGAGAGAGAAAATTAGCGTAATATGAAAAGAATAAGAAAGGGTGGAAACATTGACAAATTACGCTTAAGATTACACCAGTGTAAATTCAAGGTTATGACAAATTGTTTCGGCACACATAAAGCGGATTTTCATAACAAGGACTAATTGTTTAAAAATTAAATTTATGCGAAGGACAACATAGTTTTAAATATCCAGATGACAGATAAGATGTTTCGATCAAAACGTATGTGAGCAATACAAAATAGTTCCATTCAAAACGCATTCCCATAGTTACCAATGATATTTCATTCATGAGGGTTTGTAAATCAATCGGCAAGCATTCATCATAACTCAAAATGTCTTCATTTGTATTGATGATATTTAGTTAACTCCCTCTCACTCAAGGACTTTTCCAAACCGTGCAGTTACAACCGACACAAATCATATGAAATATTTAACACAGCAAAGATTTTGTTTAATGTACTAATATTTCAGCTCTCTTTAACATAACATACAATTTTAGGAAGAAAACATTTCCAATTAGGGTTTTACACTTTACAGGCAGTTTCAGTACTTATGAATCACAATATAAATATTTATAATGCATCCATCTTCAGCTTGTCATATCGGTGATATAGTCCAGAAGGACACATTGAGTACAGACAACGCAGACAAACTGAAATACATATCTAGATACAATCACTGAAACACAATCGATCAAGCAGATATTTTATCATTTACGGTATTGTTTCGTATTATTTCGAGAGCTTCAATAAACGTATTATGTTATATTTTGTTATTTAAATGTACAAAAACTCTTATCTGTACTTGTTTATTCTTTCACTGTTTATAAATACTAAACCAGGATGGAATGGTGTCAGATATGCTACCTAATAGCGCCAATTTGTCTACTGATTCAAAATGTTTGCAAAATTCATTCAATATAGGAAGAGGAAACTTCCAGATGCTCAACGAAGCAGAACAGCATCAACAGTGTGGTTACAAATTGAATTTGAAAACCAAATGCGATTCAATTTTACTCCAGAAAAATCTAAAAACTACCAAAAATGAGAATTCAAATTTCAACATACAACACACTGATTCTACTGCTTATAACAATGAAGCAAGAGTGAAGTCTGTGCAATCTGATAACAACGAAGTAATCAAAACCATTTCCTCCTTGGATGGACTACATCCGTGTAATGTTGTACAGAGAAGTCAGATTGAAAAATTTCTCGATGATAATGATTATCGAAATGAAGGTGTCAGTATGTCAGCAAACCGTGGTGGTAATAAACACAGCTTGGACGATGATTTATCAGATAATAACACCGTTGGTGATCAAAGTCTTCTACATTTAGCAGCTCATATGAATGTAGGACACGATATCATAAACAAAATCTATCATAATGAACATGATGAAAGACCTGTTGGTATTTTCTATGTTGATTCATCAGGTAGAACAGCCTTGACTAGTGCTGCTGCTGCTAATTCTTTAGAGTCAATCAAGTCGTTATACCAACTTGAAAAAGAAGCTATGGTGAAAATGAAACCAGTGAAACCTGTCAAGTCACAACATATCAATAAACCGAAACCAACATATCGTTCAAGAAGACGTTATCAAATTTATGAATCTCGACAATGTTCACCAATCATAGTTGCTATCCAAGCAGGGAATGATGAAGTAGTGAAGTGTCTATTGGACGAAGGTTGTCCTTATAACACTGTTGATCAATACGGTCGTAATGTTGTACATTGGGCAGCAGTAACTAATTCCGTTAAAATATTATCTCGTTTAGCACAGTGTAAAGGATTCGCTAGAATAATGAATATGAAAGATGACTGGGATAGAACACCGATCATGTTAGCTATACGTGAAGGTTGTCAGGAAGCTGTGCAATTCCTTCTGGATAAACAAGCAAGAATCGAAATCACAGACTGTATGGAAAACGATTGTGTATCATTATGTATAGAAAAAGGCTATCAGAGAATACATGAAATACTGATAAATTATAACCGGTCAAGAAACGTCGACACAAAGTCAATAACACCTGATAAGAAAGTGAATATTTTCAATGAAAATTCAGATGTGAGTGAACAAGAACTAGGATTGTCATCAATGGCACCGGTCACCACAGTGATGACAACCACACCAGTACGCCATTCAGCAGAGAATATTTCTCGTATGAATGAATTTGAATGGGTGAGTTTAAGTGATGATTCAGTTTCGGAAGCGTTCAGTGATTGTGATCCGTCCACAGAAGACATGAATGCGCATTGTAGTTGATGTAGAATTGGTCACCACTGATGCATATTGTTTACTGCGACCAACATAGTTTTGATTATGTGTTCCACACATCTTTTGTATATGATCAGAAATGAAGGTATAAAATGAATACTGGATGCAGTTGATTGTAGAGTAATTTTATTTATTCAGCTCCGTGTGTGTGTATAAAACTGTATTCAAGTGTGAATGCAATAAGTCACTATAAAATGAAAAATTATTATGAACAACTTGTATATTTGTTTATTGCTACCATCAATTTTCTATGTTTACATGAAATTGTTTGTATAATAAATTTGTTTTTATAAATGAATGCGATTTGTTGTTTGATATCAAGTGAACTAAGGGAGATATGGGAATCGTTTAAACGAGTGTTGAATTGCTTTCAAGTGTACATCAGTGGTGCAAATTCACTACTTTCTGATTAGCTTTCTTGAAATGATTCGAACTGTACTGGTCATTCGAGACAAATTCTATTATATTTCCATAATGTTACTGCTTTCTGCGTATCAGTCATACTACTTACTAATACTGAGTAGACTATGTGTTTCCAGTCATTTTGGAATGTACACCATACAACTTCACTTTCTTGACATATGCTTGCTGTTCACAACCTCCACTGACATTAGTACCGCAATATGAATGCAATCATACATCCTAAACATGTCTTGTTCACACAGATTGTTCATTGAGGGTTTGATTGTTCGGATCATTTGACATCAAAGAATTCAGAATGATCTACATTGTTCTTAAACGGATTGGCACATAAACGGTTTTAAATGAAATAAAGAAAGTTTGTTCGAATTGATGATGCCTGGTTCCAAAAAGTGCTACACCGACTATAATAACTCACTCATTCATTAAATGTAATCCCTATTATATTACTTTATTCAAGTAAAAAGTGTATATTATCATTTCTTCTGAGTGATTTTATTACTCAAAACAGCCGCCTTTTTAGCACAGCTTGATTCGATAATTAAAACTGAAAAGCAGAATGGAATGACAGTGACCACTGTAGTATCAATTCAGCGTTCCGTTGAATGAGATACAAAACTCAAACATCTTTTAATTCTAAATTTGACATCAGTGATAACTAGTAAATAGTAAAATTTAGATTTTCTGTCGCCTTGATTATTGACTTCATCGTTAATAATGGTGGCTTTGGAAAGCTTAAAGTATTTTGACTTACTTTTAAGAGTAAGAGTGTTTCAGTCTAACATATTGATAATCCGTCACAGTTATCAATAGAATACTCACTTTAATTTATTTTTGCTAGAAATATCTTCTAATAAAAGTTCTCCAGCGACATCGTCCTTTGCAAATAAGCTCGAAGTGATGATGCTTACTTTGAAAGGACGCTCTTGTAGTTGTATCACTCTCCATTATCTACTACGAGAATGCATGCAATTAAGTTGATTATAGTTTTCTTCATTCTAGCAGTTACATAACCAATGAAATAATAACAAACAACTAAACATCTTTCCACCGTATTCTGGTTGACTACTCATGCATTTCATAAATACACATTATTATCATTTTGTTATAAACACGACTTTTGTGGCAGACTCATTTCATACAAAACTCCTCTTTGTTTAAGTACAACGGTTCCTGATTCCCATCGATTTTTCCCCAGATATAATTTTAAGAACACTTTATCGCCAACATTAAAGCTGTGAATATTTTGATTTGGCCTGTACCTACTCACTCCTTTAGGGGGCAACATCGCGTTAAAAATAGTCCGAATACTTCTTCCAAACATTGCTTCGGCTGGAGACTTCCCATCTTGGACCGTATTGTTCGGAATGCTTCTGTAAGTCGTTAAAAATCTAGTGATTACTTGACTAGTTGGCTCCTCGTCTCCCACTTTCAGTAAACCTCTTTTGAAGGTGTGAACTAAGCGTTCTGCTTGTCTATTGGATTGGGGATGGTAAGGTGGGGACCGTAGATGCGTTATACCGTTTGAACTGCAGAATCGCTTGAACGAGTCCGCAACAAATTGTGACCCATTACCAGTTACCAAGGTTTCTGGCACTCCGAAAGAACTAAATAATGTAGACAGCTTCTGAATAGTTTCCGAGGCTGTACAATTCGGCATGCTGTATTTTTCTGGCCATTTCGTATACGCATCTATAATAATCAGAAACATTTTACCCTGGATTGGGCCAGCGAAATCTGCATGAATTCTCTCCCAAGGTCCAATAGGTTTCTGCCATTGTTGGGGCTCGCATTTCGAATGGCTTTTTGCAGCTTGTCAGCAGGAAAGGCAGTTTCGGCATTTGGATTCTGTCCAACTACTGAAAGAGAAGCATAAGGTACAGGTCTTTTTGGTCGGAAAACAGGAATAGCTGTTGACTTGAGAGTCAGTAGGGCTTTGGCTTTCGTACATTCGCCCAACGCTTCCGAAAATACGTGATGATGCCTTTTTATAATGGCATTTCTCAGACTTGACTCTAAAGGGTTATTGATTCTAACTCGGAATCTTTCTTTTCACTAACAGCATGCACGTATGATGGTCGGCTATTGATTCGACCATGCAGGTGTCATGCTTCAACTTTACTAATCGGTGACACTCTGTACTTATTTCTTGCAGCGAGATGTTTAAACACTGCTCAATTTTACTTAAGATTCTGGTTCTTATGTCAGCATCTTCGGGAGATTGTAAGCCGCACAAAAACACAAGGCACTTAAACTGGTCTTCCGTCATTGATGATAGTTTAAATCGTTCGCATTCACGATTTACTAACCCAGCGCGTTTTACCCAGTCATCTTCACTTGACTTAGATATTTTGAGGCATTGATAGCGAATATTAAAGAGAGATGACTGTTCAGCGAAGATTTGCGACAGCGTTTCAATTGTGGCATCAAAAGAGAAATCTCGTGGCTTCTTTGGGAGGATGAAATTACTATAACGTTCGTGTTCGATTGTGCCGAGCTTTCTCAAGAGTATTCTGACTTTAGCGGCGTCATCAAGTTTGTTGAGGTCGACATTGAATAAATTCTCGTACTTCCTGTACCGAGACTCGAAAGTCACACCAGCAAGGCCATCAAAATGAAATTCATGAATAGAATTAATTATCGAGTCTGTATGTGGATTATATAAATCATCGGAAAACCTCTGTGACTCTGTGATTCCGATTCGTTTGTTTCATTAACATCTCCAACATACTTCCCTGGAACTGTTCATATCGTTTACCTTAACGTCCCACTAAAGATTCTATATCTTCAAGGGTAATTGACATTGTGGGTTGTAAACATCGTCGACACTGTTATATTCTCTACTTGAGTAACGCCAACCACTGTACAAATGACAACACCGAACGTTAGAAGTTGATCATAGTTTTCATTATTCTACCAGATACGTAACCAACGAAATAATAACAAACAACTAAACATCTTTCCACCGTATTCTGGTTGACTACTCATGCATTTCACAAATACACATTATTATCGTTTTGTTGTAAATACGACTTTTGTAGCAGATTTATTTCATAACAATTCGATTATTGTTGATGTCTTGCCTCTATCTTACTGAAGATTATTTGATTGATTTATCTTGTGGAAGTATACAAGATGGAAACACATTCATCTCAACCATAGAGTGAATCAGCGTCATCTAGTCATAATGAATATCTGTTTGATTGTTTTGACAAACGCTTGAATACTGTTTAAGCAAACTCTTAAAATAAGATCAAATGGTGTCGGAGAACGTATTTTAAGTTAACAGGTCAATTATGTGAAAAAAATCTGTCAACTCGTATTGAAACTCGGCTGCTGTAACTGTGTTTGCTATACTACAATATACACTGCCCCTCTTGATTTTTCCGATGGCCATACTGATCTCTTAATTGTTGGTTGGCCTGCATAGACTTGAAGGTCCGTAAATGCTGCTTTGATACCGAGTGTGTTCCCTGGAGCTAGTCGATTCAAGAGTTCCCTAAAGTGCTCTACTCACCTGTTTCGCTGCTATTCAGTGTAGCTGGTAACTTTGCAATCCTCGTTTATCACAAGTCGTTCTGGTTTAATATAGTTTCCAGTGAGCTACTTTGTTGTATGCTACAACCGACTAATTATTCATGACAATAGATCTCATGAGCTATTTTCGACGCGTCAACTGTGAGTGTCTATATTCGACTGCAGTTAGTTGCACGCACTGCCACTCTATATCCGACTAACACCAATCTCGTCTACATTGCCCACCACAAACTATTTATCACATACACACACACACACACCGTGTCCAACTAACACTACATCGAATGACAACGATGTCTACTTCACGTTCAAAACGATCAACCGATAGATTATGCAACACAAGGGAACACAATTCACAGTAAGTAAATATATATTGAAGAGTTGAATGAATGGGCGAACACAATGCTAGTGACTAAGAGTAATGTATGTGGATATTTTGATGTTGTGGAGAGCCGATTGATGGTGAATGAAGTGACGACAATCGGTGCACATTGGAGTGAATGACGAGCAGATTTGGCTCACTTCGATCGGCCATCTATCATTAGTAGTTGTAGTAGTAGTAGTAGTAGCGGCGGTGGTGACGTCGACCGCAGCGTCCATATCGACCACATCTATAACGACGTCCATATCTGTATCGACCATACCTTCGGCGACCGTAGTAACCGTGTAACAGTACTGCGTCCGATCCCTTTGCATCACCATCATCGTCATCGTCATCAGCATTATCAGATGTTCCATCCGTCAACGCGCCTTGGTCATCATCATCATCATCATCACCGACTTTTACGGCGGGGCCAGATAATGCTACAACAAAAAAAGATCATGTTACAAGAGAGTTGGTGACCGACCGACAAGCATGAGGTGTGTAGGTACTGTGAAATTAATGTGTACGCGAGCGTGCTTGTGTGTGTATGCGCGTGTCAGTGGTTGGGCGTGTGACTGGATGCATATGGTGATGGATAGGTGGATTGAAACTGGTTGACCATCTGTGCGAATGCAGACTCGTCGACTGCGGCTCTGTGAAATGACGATCTGTCGGAATGATCAGCAAGTGCACTCATCATTTGATTTGCGGCAGTCAATATGAAAGTGACGTCTCAATCGGATGACAAGCGTCAACCGTCATCACAATACATCACAGAGGTCGCTTGTTGCGCAAGTACGTGTAGTGAGATGACGATCTGCTCAGTATACACTGATTGACACATGCTTTCATTGTCACACTAATTCCCTATGACATTTCTTGCGTTTTGATGTTGCGAACCAGTGACACGAAATAAGTGATATGATAAGAGTGATCGGTCGCACTGGAAACAGTTGTCAGATTTGTGCTGAACAGCACAAGTCTCATTATTGTACCACAAACACACCACACATACCTTGATCACCTTCACTGGTGGGGATAGGTTCGGCCAGTAGACAGTGGAAGAAGAAGAACACACTGATCAGTAGAAAGAAGACCAGTCTCATTATGGTAGATCTGGAAGTAAGAGAAATGCAAACACGTGAGTGGTGGTGGTTGTTGTGCTTGTGTGTTGTTTGATGCAATCAATTGTGTGTGGTGTGTGGATTGGATGGTGATTTCCGTCCACCACACCTTAACCACAATCATCACTGACTCACCTGATTCCACAAGTCTTGTTCAATGAAGTTTCGAGATTGCAGTAGACCACGTCCGAGAGCACGAAAGAATCAATAGCCGACCATCATACGTGCATGCTGTTAGTGAAAAGAAAGATTCCGAGTTAGAATCAATAACACTTGAGAGTCAAGTCTGAGAAATGTCATTATAAAAATTCACCATCACATATTTTCGGAAGCGTTGGGCGAATGTACGTAAACCAAAGCACTACTGACTCTCAAGCGAACAGCTATTACTGTTTTCCGACCAAGAAGACCTGTACCTAATGCTTCTCTTTCCCAGTAGTTAAACAGAATCCAAATGCCGAAACTGCCTTTCCTGCTGACAAGCTGCAAAAAGCCATTCGAAATGCGAGCCCCAACAATGGCAGAAACCTAATGGACCTTGGGAGAGAATTCATGCAGATTTCGCTGGCCCAATCCAGGGTAAAATGTTTCTGATTATTATAGATGCGTATACGAAATGGCCAGAAAAATACAGCATGCCGAATTGTACAGCCTCGGAAACTATTCAGAAGCTGTCTACATTATTTAGTTCTTTCGGAGTGCCAGAAACCTTGGTAACTGATAATGGATCACAATTTGTTGCGGACTCATTCAAGCGATTCTGCAGTTTGAATGGCATAACTTATCTACGGACCCCACCTTACCATCCCCAATCCAATAGACAAGCAGAACGCTTAGTTCACACCTTCAAAAGAGGTTTACTGAAAGTGGGAGACGAGGAGCCAACTAGTCAAGTAATCACTAGATTTTTAACGACTTACAGAAGCATTCCGAACAATACGGTCCAAGATGGGAAGTCTCCAGCCGAAGCAATGTTTGGAAGAAGTATTCGGACTATTTTTAACGCGATGTTGCCCCCTAAAGGAGTGAGTAGGTACAGGCCAAATCAAAATATTCACAGCTTTAATGTTGGCGATAAAGTGTTCTTAAAATTATATCTGGGGAAAAATCGATGGGAATCAGGAACCGTTGTACTTAAACAAAGAGGAGTTTTGTATGAAATGAGTCTGCCACAAAAGTCGTGTTTATAACAAAATGATAATAATGTGTATTTATGAAATGCATGAGTAGTCAACCAGAATACGGTGGAAAGATGTTTAGTTGTTTGTTATTATTTCATTGGTTATGTAACTGCTAGAATGAAGAAAACTATAATCAACTTAATTGCATGCATTCTCGTAGTAGATAATGGAGAGTGATACAACTACAAGAGCGTCCTTTCAAAGTAAGCATCATCACTTCGAGCTTATTTGCAAAGGACGATGTCGCTGGAGAACTTTTATTAGAAGATATTTCTAGCAAAAATAAATTAAAGTGAGTATTCTATTGATAACTGTGACGGATTATCAATATGTTAGACTGAAACACTCTTACTCTTAAAAGTAAGTCAAAATACTTTAAGCTTTCCAAAGCCACCATTATTAACGATGAAGTCAATAATCAAGGCGACAGAAAATCTAAATTTTACTATTTACTAGTTATCACTGATGTCAAATTTAGAATTAAAAGATGTTTGAGTTTTGTATCTCATTCAACGGAACGCTGAATTGATACTACAGTGGTCACTGTCATTGCATTCTGCTTTTCAGTTTTAATTATCGAATCAAGCTGTGCTAAAAAGGCGGCTGTTTTGAGTAATAAAATCACTAAACAGAAATGATAGTATACACTTTTTACTTGAATAAAGTAATATAATAGGGATTACATTGAATAAACAAGTGAGTTATTGTAGTCAGTGTAGCACTATTCGGAACCAGGGATCATCAATTCGAACAAACTTTCTTTATTTCATTTAAAACCGTTTATGTGCCAATCCGTTTAAAAACAATGTAGATCATTCTCAATTCTGTGATGTCAAATGATCCGAACAATCAAACCCTCAATGAACAATCTGTGTGAACAAGACATGTTTAGGATGTATGATTGCATTCATATTGCGGTACTAATGTCAGTGGAGGTTGTGAACAGCAAGCATATGTCAAGAAAGTGAAGTTGTATGGTGTACATTCCAAAATGACTGGAAACACATAGTCTACTCAGTATTAGTAAGTAGTATGACTGATACGCAGAAAGCAGTAACATTATGGAAATATAATAGAATTTGTCTCGAATGACCAGTACAGTTCGAACATTTCAAGAAAGCTAATCAGAAAGTAGTGAATTTGCACCAGTTATGTACACTTCAAAGCAATTCAACACTCGTCTAAACGATTCCCATATCTCCCTTAGTTCACTTGATATCAAACAACAAATCGCATTCATTTATAAAAACAAATTTATTATACAAACAATTTCATGTAAACATAGAAAATTGATGGGGGCAATACACAAATATACAAGTTGTTCATAATAATTTATCATTTTCTAGTGACTTATTACATTCACACTTGGACACAGTTTTATACACACACAGAGCTGAATAAACAAAATTACTCTAAAATTAATTGCATCTAGTATTCACTTTATTTCCTCATTTCTGTTCATATTCAAAAGATGTGTACATCACATGATCAAAACTATGTTGATCGCAGTAAACAATATGCATCAGTGGTGACCAAGTCTTCATCAACTACAATGCGCATTCATGTCTTCTGTGAACGGATCACAATCACTGAACGCTTCCGAAACTGAATCATCACTTAAACTCACCCATTCAAATTCATTCATACGAGAAATATTCTCTGCTGAATGGCGTACTGGTGTGGTTGTCATCACTGTGGTGACCGGTGCCATTGATGACAATCCTAGTTCTTGTTCACTCACATCTGAATTTTCATTGAAAATATTCACTTTCTTATCAGGTGTTATTGTCTTTGTGTCGAAGTTTCTTGACCGGATATAATTTATCAGTATTTCATGTATTCTCTGATAGCCTTTTTCTATACATAATGATACACAATCATTTTCCATACAGTCTGTGATTTCGATTCTTGCTTGTTTATCCAGAAGGAATTGCACAGCTTCCTGACAACCTTCACGTATAGCTAACATGATCGGTGTTCTATCCCAGTCATCTTTCATATTCATTAATCTAGCAAATCCTTTACACTGTGCTAAACGAGATAATATTTTAACGGAATTAGTTACTGCTGCCCAATGTACAACATTACGACCGTATTGATCAACAGTGTTATAAGGACAACCTTCGTCCAATAGACACTTCACTACTTCATCATTCCCTGCTTGGATAGCAACTATGATCGGTGAACATTGTCGAGATTCATAAATTTGATAACGTCTTCTTGAACGATATGTTGGTTTCGGTTTAGTGATATGTTGTGACTTGACCGGTTTCACTGGTTTCGTTTTCACCATAGCTTCTTTTTCAAGTTGGTATAACGACTTGATTGACTCTAAAGAATTCGCAGCAGCAGCATTGGTCAAAGCTGTTCTACCTGATGAATCAACATAGAAAATACCAACAGGTCCTTGAACATGTTCATTATGATAGATTTTGTTTATGATATCGTGTCCTACATTCATATGAGCTGCTAAATGTAGAAGACTTTGATCACCAACGGTGTTATTATCTGATAAATCATCGTCCGAACAGTGTTTAGTACCACCACGGTTTGCTGACATATTGACACTTTCATTTCGATAATCATTATCATCGAGAAATTTTTCAATCTGACTTCTCTGTACTACATTACACGGATGTAGTCCATCCAAAGAGGAAATGGTTTCGATTACTTCGTTGTTATCAGATTGCACAGACTTCACTTTTGCTTCATTGTTATAAGCAGTAGAATCAGTGTGTTGTATGTTGAAATTTGTATTCTCATTTTTGGTAGTGTTTAGATTTTTCTGGAGTAAAATTGAATCGCATTTGGTTTTAAAATTCAATTTATAGTCACACTGTTGATGCTGTTCTGCTTCGTTGAGCATTTGAACGTTTCCTCTTGCTATACTGAATGAATTTCGCAAACATTTTGAATCGGTAGACAAATTGGCGCTATTCGGTAGCATATCTGACACCATTCCATCCTGGTTTAGTATTTATAAACAGTGAAAGAGTAAACATGTACGGATAAGAGTTTTTGTACATTTAAATAACAAAATATAACATAATACGTTTATTGAAGTTCTCGAATTAATATGAAACAATACCGTAAATGATAAAATATCTGCTTGTTCGATTGTATTTCAGTGATTGCATCTAGATATGTATTTCAGTTAATCTGCGTTGTCTGTACTCAATGTGTCCTTCTGGACTATATCACCGATATGACAAGCTGAAGATGGATGCATTATATACATCGATATTGTTATTCATAAGTACTGAAACTGCCTGTAAAGTGTAAAACCCTAATTGGAGATGTTTTCTTGCTAAATTGTGTGTTATGTTAAGAGAGCTGAAATATTAGTACATTAAACAAAATCTTTGCTGTGTTAAATATTTCATATGATTTGTGTCGGTTGTAACTGCACGGTTCGGAAAAGTCCTTGAGTGAGAGGGAGTTTACTAAATATCATCAATACAAATGAAGACATTTTGAGTTATGATGAATGCTTGCCGATTGATTTACAAACCCTCATGAATGAAATATCATTGGTAACTATGGGAATGCGTTTTGAATGGAACTATTTTGTATTGCTCACATACGTTTTGATCGAAACATCTTATCTGTCATCTGGATATTTAAAACTATGTTGTCCTTCGCATAAATTTAATTTTTAAACAATTAGTCGTTTTTATGAAAAGTTCCCTTAAGTGTGCGGAAACAATTTGTCATAACCTTGAATTTACACTGGTGTAATCTTAAGTGTAATGTGTCAATGTTCCCACCCTTTCTTATTCTTTTCATATTACGCTAATATTCTCTCTCCTTTATTTACAATTATCACCTTATGTCTGTTTGAACTTTTATTTAATTGACCTCGTATTAATCTTCATAGAAAATGCCTTGACAGGTATATGAGTGATCATATTGTTCGAATTGTGTAGCGCAAGTACATCACATTTTTCAGATCATTTACGTCTTCTCACTGTTCCATACAAATTTAATTTGGCAACAACTACACTGGATCGAGACATCCAGCCAGAAGATTTAGTTAATATTTAAAGTTTCTGGAATTTTCCTTGAAAATAACAACTTTTTCGTCACATTATGACAAATCACTTACTTGAGTAAGACGTTTCTTTTTACAGGCTGGCAAGAATTCATCACTCCATGAAGTATCTGTTCCACAAGTCTACGAAAGGAAAAAATAATGATTTTATAATTACTATCAATCAATACAATCTATTTTGTATATGGTGATTTATAAAATCCGGAAATACTGTACTAACTGGATGACTTTTCATTGTATTATTAGCTGAAGAAATTGAGTGACGGAGTTATGGAGATTTTTCATTGTCCGACCTCCAATAGAAGCCTGCAAGCACTGGACGGCCATTTCGTTCTGGTACGGGACTCATCAGCATTGCACATCTACGACTCCTGCCAACGCAGGATTCAAATACATCCATCAGATGCAGTCTTACGCCCGATCGACCAATCTCCGTAACACGGGGTCAGTACGGAAAAGACTTGTTTTATATTTGAAAAAAGTTAAAATCATTCTTATAAAACAAAATGTCAGACGATTTTCAACATTGAAAATAAACTGAAATAAGTCACATTTTATTCGATAGTGTAGAAAACGTATATCTGATAAGCTCTGGTTGATAACTTCATATACGTTCTGTTCACTGCATTTCAACAACAACATCCCATGAAAATCTAACTGAATTCATCTGTTTGGTTAACGCAACTCTTATTTCATCTACAACGATTTAAAAACTAAACTAAACTCCATAACTCTTCAGGCACGGAATTTCTGAAAATATAATATTGCATCGTAGTACTGAAAATTTATTATTCAGATGTAAAATTATCTGTTGTTTATGGTTCAAACATTAGTTCCAATCCGTTAACAAGTGACTACCTATGTTCAAAACTATACTAGTAGCAATTAATTCAGTGAGAGATTTGTAAATCCAACGTTTTACCATCTCTAATTTCTAACGACATTGAAGTTCGATCTAAATCAACTCCATACGGTACTTGTAATGCCAGCTGAAAGAGTGAATATTTTGTTATGTTAGTCAGTCGTAAGTGTGGAGCCACGGGAGAACAATCATTCAAACTAACTTCAAATCTTAAACTGTTGCAAAATATATAACGAGAAGTCGATTATTCATATTGCATGTCTACATTGACGTTCACTTATAAAACGAAAGACTGTTTTTACTGTAAATTCCATTAATTTATTCCGTTCATTTGAGTTAGTATATGTACATCAGTCTATTTCGTCAACAAATCTATACTGCATCACTCCACTAAAACGCATTTACCTTTTGTTGAAAAACAGTAGGTTCTTAGAAAAATTAAACTTCAAGAACATATGTGCTATGTCCAAGTAGTATTTACATCTTTTTGTTTACAAGTCCAATGCAATCTCTCTTTTGATATCATCAGGTTTTTCGGTTTTTGTCAGATGTGATCGTAAACTGATGACTACTTGAATGGTTGTCTTATTCTGGTGTGTTTATGATCTGAGTATTTTATTTTAGTGGGATTATATCATCCAATCGTTATAACATGGAAAGCAGATGTATACTGTGGCAAGTAATGAGCTGAGAAAAGAAGACAAATATTACTTACTAGATGTCAATGTAAAATTACCGACAGACCACTGTGAAGATCTATAATTATGTATACACTTTCAGAAACTATACTCACTTTATCTGAAATCAATTCAGTGATCTTTTCTTCATGGTTAAGCTTTGATATATTTGACGAGAGGAGTGTATTCTTCTCATCAATAGTTGAAGAATTCAAGTAACTTTGAAAGAATGTCGACTCTGAGAGATTTGGACTAAGTTTACTGGCAAAATAATTCTGACCACATATTGTTTTTGTTAAGAATGGTTCTGTTGTTCCAACTATCGATGTTAGTCCTGTGGAATAAAGCGAAGACTGTTGTCCCAATAAATCAACTTGGTTTGGTTTAGAATAAACCGACGGTACAGGTGGACACCAAATACCTTTCGTTTTGACACGTTTCAATGGTTTTCTCCAATAATTGTCGTGTTGAAATACCAAGAATAAAACTAGTATAATAATTACTGAAACACAGAAAATAATCCGAAAACGATAAATATTCAATAACTAATAAACTCATATTTCAGCCATAATTATTGAAAATGTATTCATTTCATTTTGTTTAAGATAAATAAGATTCAATAACTAAGTGTTAGAGTTGTTAAAGACAGACACGGAAACGCTAATCAATTGAGCTATCTACTCCGTTCAATAGTTCATGTACTGAGGGAATCTCATTCAGCACTATTAGTTAGTAGATTACCTAAACCATAAATTGTTTGATTAATAGATAACTGTACGGTTAATCACTTTTAGCTAAATGTTTAAAGTTTGTAATCTGACATAGCAGACGACACCATAAGAAAATCTACACAGGTAACCAAAGAAACCAATTTCGAAATCTATGCTTCCTTAAGGTGTCCCTCAAATAAAACTATTATCTAATCGAATTCCATCTATTAAACTTATGTATTATTTCTTTGAGATGAATCAAGTGAAGTTTTTATCAGCTATTGTTGACAAACTGATCCATTCATAAGATAAAATCAACCTTGTCTGAAAAGCTCAGATTACCAGAGTATTGATATACATTCACATGAATTTTGCATTTAGAAAATGTTGATTATCTAAGATAGAATAAAACATAGAGATTTACAAGTGTGTTAACTCAAGCATCAAGGTCTTCACAATTGTTTCTCATTAAAGTAAGCTAAAGGTATTGTCTGAAAAGTAAAATAATGTCATCCTTTTGATTCATTCATTATTCTGTTTATGTTCATATTTTCGTCACATACTACAAGACATAATTTATGTAAAACATTCGAATATGTTTGAGCTGTGATTGTTTTCTTCCATTACTACTGATCGATTACCGATCTGGAAAACTTCATTTTTTTGTCTGAATGTAAATCTGTTCAAAATATATACAAATTACCGTATATTAGAGGTCAACTGATAAAAAGTTACAAGTGAGTATGAACAGTATATTTTGGTTAAGTCTATCTTTAAATATTTGCTGCTATTTATAAGTTCAGGTTTGCATAATTAAAATCTTAGACCAGTTCATAAACTAATCAGAGATGCGAACTGAAATAAAATTGACTTGTTTATTGAGAGATCATTGGTTTGTAAATAGCGTTATACTCATTCAATCTTTAGAGTTGATCAAATTATTAACTAGCGTTCATTTTAATTTTCTTAATATCGCGTTTATTCTAATTATAGGTTGACGTTGTCCTGGATGATAACCACCAGCAAGGGACACCTTTCCTTTGAACTACATAATGTGTTTGTACGACAAACGCAGTGTAAATAATCTCTCTTTACTCAATCACAATAAATATCTCAGCATCACAAAAGTTCAGGTCAAGCCTAAATAGTGAAGTGGTCAAATCGAAGACAATGATTCTAGGTAACACAATCTTAAACCTAACATGGGTTGTCAGTTATATCAAGAAGTCCCAGTATGCCTTGGTAATTGCTTATGGCCAGAAAACATTTCAACTCCATGCTTATTTACAAATTACATCCAAGCACCTAATATTGAAAGTCAGTTCACCTGTAAGATATTGAGAACAGCTAATCAACGATAAATAGTTTCAATTTAGCTGGTTCATTTGACAGAAAAAGGTTGGATATTTACAAAATCTTATCAACATCAAATCAAAGAAAAACGTATTTAAATTAACAACTAACTTAGTCTAGTAGTATACATATGAAGTACACTTGAAACTGTTTTCCAATGCCATCAATGATTGATGTAAATGTCAAAAGAAATCGGAGAGAAGATGAATATACAATAAAAGGAGCTCCATTTTAATTAGCTTTCCACTGAAATCAATTTAATTGAGCAACACGTGTACAGTAAGTGTACTTGAATAATGTGAAGATTTATAACAAAAAGAAAGTCAAGAGATGTTTTCACATGACGTCGTTTCGCTCTGCTCAAGACTGTTATATTGATAATGTTGTCTACATTCCAGTTTCAGTAACTGCATTAAATTGAATACAGTTTTAATAGTCGACCGCAACATAATACTAATTCAACTAACATTTTGAATTTAATGAGGTGGCTGCCGAATAATAAGACAAACTGGTTTATTTGATGTTAGCCCCTAAAAGCGGGCTAAATTGTACACTGAAACATTCTGTTACGCATACACGTAAACACGTCATTTTGATATGCTTGAAACTATTACGAGTTGACCTGAGGCGGAAAACGAGATCGAGGATCGAGGATTCGGCGACACGACTGACTACTCTAATCCGATTGTCCCTATCCCCCATTGAGTAAAACAAGATTTGATATGAAGTAGAACCTGTATTCTACAAGCATCCAGAAAGTACGACGTCCGAGTCCAAAAGAGAATCAGGATTCCGGAATAGGTATCCGGTTCTGGGTCCAGATTCGGGTCATAAAACGTTACACATTCATACACTTTCAAAAATTAACATTTGAAATTTCGGATCACATGATGATGACAATAAGATTCTGCAAAGCTTTAAATAAGAAAATTAAACATAGCTGCTCCATTTTCTTTAGGAATATTAAAATTATCAAAGTACTATAACTTACTTCCAGCCAAAATACATATACAAACGTATAGTCCAATCGCTTCTTTTGAAATCTGTGTATCATTCGAAAATTCTGATTCCCATGGTGCTTTAAAATGTGACTGACTGGGCGAATCAACAAAATTCAAGTATAATACATTATACATTGATTTGTACTGAATTGTACTTAATGCAGCAAAAATGTAATTTTTATATTCATTTGGTTTAAATAATTGAACACTATAATTGACACACATAGTTTCCTCAATTGTATCACAGTTAACATTTGATTGACTAATAACTTCCAGAAGCAACTGAAGAGAAAAATAGTAAACTTTATGAAAATTGTTTACCCGTTCAAATAGAATGCTAAGAATCATTCGTACATTAGACTTAGTCAATGATTTCACTTTTTTTTCAACTCATTTACTGACACGATAGTATGAGTGTATTTTGAAATAAAAAACTTAAACATTTCTGTGTCGTATTTCAAATAAACTAGACTGTAGGAAAGGACTCATTACACTTAAACATTATCATCTGCATTTTACTATGAAAATAATTTGTATGAATAACTCGTTTGAATACTCAAAGATTAGATGAAATTTGTTGGACTGTTGAAGGTAAAACTCTAATGTACGAATGCATTTGAATGCTATACTCTATAGAACACAAAAAATTAGTTTTTATCAATAAATTTTAGACATTAAATGTTTCAACCCATCACACCGATCACAGCAGTTATTTAATTAAGGTATTCACAGTGGAGATGATAATGAAATAGGCGTTCTAGAAAGTCATTCCAAATAGTGCTACACGGACTACAATAACTCACTGGTTCATTCAATATATTCGCTATTATATTACTTCATTCAAGTAAAATGTGTATATTATCATTTCTGCTAAGTGAATTTATTACTCTAAATAGCCGCTTTGTTAGCACAGCTTGATTCGATAATTAAAAACTGAACAAAAACTCAACCTACAGCAGAATGCAGTTACAGTGACCACTATAGTATCAACTCAGCGTTCCGTTGAATGAGATACAAAACTCAAACATGTTTTAATTCTAAATTTGACATCACTGATAAACAACTTCGAAATTGCTCAGTAGATAACTACTGCAAATCAGATTTTCGCTCGCACTTACTATTAAGCATGTGTCAGTCTAAAATATTGATAATTCGTCACAGTTATCAATAGAATACTCACTTTAATTTCATTTTTACTAGGAATATCTTCAATTAAAAGTTCTCCAGTTACATCGTCTTTTGCAATTCTGACGATTGATTGTAAAATCATACCTAGATTTCCTAAATACTGATTACGATTCAATGTGAATTGCGATTGATTTGTTTTCAGATGAAGTAAAATATATTTTCTTGATAAATAATTATTTCTTTGTACATTTTCACAATCTCCTCCATCATAACCACATTGGATTGTATTGCATTGTGACTGGCAAACACCATCTCCATATGACTGTAAGCAGAATTCAAATGATATACACTGTGATCTAAAATGAATATGACAGAATGTAATTATCGATGCGGCCCTAAAATTAAGTTTGTTGTCTTGTCTTTTAACTACATTAATTTTAAACACGATGAACTAATCAATAGTCACTTGTAAGTCCGTTTGGATCAAATCGACTAAGGATAACGAATTTATCAGTTATTAATTGAAGGCTTCCCCTTGATTCTTTTATTATCAAACTATTAATATTCTGCATGAGTTGGAAGTTTTTCCTTTCCATCACCTCAGAGAAAAGTTAGAATCTGTAACACTTCTCTTTACTGAGACTCAGTTATTGAAATTAAAAGTACACACACACTCACATTTTCTGAGATTTAAAAATATTTTATACTCACCAAACAATCTCATGAGAAAATGTTAGGGTATTCATTAAATATCTTAAAGAGATTATTTTGTAAGTCTAATTCTATTGGTCAATTACCAGTGGTGAATAATTAATCTCGTCCTTAACTATCAAGTTCACATTCGTTTAGATGTTGTTTCCTATTGGTTAGTGTTCACTTTCGACCTAACTGTATAAATGTGCATTGCTTGTAAAGTTTTATGCTCCTCTTCGTCTTCTGTACAAAACCTCATATTTTCTGAGTGATTTTAGAATATACTTTCTTCGCCATATCAAGACTTTTGATATCGTTAGTGGGGGTTTGGGACAACTGGATTAGAGTAGCCTATCATGTCAATGGATCACTTGTCTTAGCTCTCGTTTACGGACTAAGGTGAACTTCTAATAGTTTTAAGCATATCGATTGACACTCATAACAGAGAGTCAACATCTGAGCAAGAGTTACTCATTTATATCACGATAAATAACAGTATCCAGTACGATTACTTGAAAACTGTAATCTTTACTTCAAGACACACTTTTGAAATCTAACTTTCTCAGAACTAGTTGTTTTGACTTCTTATCAGGGCAAAGAGAGTGAATACTGCTCCTGTTTCAAACAAATAAACGTCCTTGAATGCTGAATGACAAATTGAACAATGAACGAAACACACAAGCTTAGCTCTATATCGTGACCTTCAAATGGCGCTAATTCATTTGGCTTTAAACTAGACAATTATTTTCACATAAATAAAAACGCAGATATAGTTAAATAACAATTGATAATTAAGATACCACCTAATGAAATTGACTCAAGTTTACATTCTGTATATAATTAAGGCAAAAAAACCTGCTGATAATTTTCACTTTACAAAAAAAAACTGAAATAGCTAAGTTGAATAATTGACAAATAGATTTATACTTTGCAGACAATTTTTATTCTCAAAAAAACTTTAGGCATTGTTTTTTTTAAAAAAAAATAATATTATTTATGGTAGTTACACATTGTTCATTTACATATAAGATAACAAATTGGAATTCAATTAGTCATTTACATTGAAGTTTATTGTGAATTGGAGCAGTAGACAGATTTTTAACTAGAAGGTTATTATTTTAACATTTATAATTACAAACAAAGTACCATATAATAATTGATTTTGGTTGTTTGTTTTCAAATATTGACGAGTTACTTATTCATATTTATTATAGACAGGTTCATAAATCAATCAGTACTGTAGTAATAAGGGTAATGTAATTAACACTATTTATTTCTAGAATATTCATTACTATAGTTTACTGTAATGATTCACTAATAACACATGTAATTTTGTATCAATGTCAACTCATTTAAAAACTAGATTGATGATATTTTGGTGAAATGTCAATAAATGATATGATCTAATATAGATTTACCTCTGATTTTGAAGTTAGAGCCCTATATGGTTCACATTGGTTTTTAATAGTTGTAAGTATCAGTACAATTAGTTGAAATGATAGTTTCAAATGAACTGAATACTGAATAAAATCTTAATAATAAGATAATCATGTATTTGTGATCTTCCATTGAGTAAACAGCTTAACATGTTTGACGTTTCACAACTTTATTATAGTTGCCTCTTTAGAGTAAATCAAGAAGCATTCAAAGTTCAATTCACACAATTTAAACAGCACAAAGAAACAAAAAACAAAACAAATCTGATTGTATCAATGTCACGTTGCGAAACTTCACATCATGAATTGTTAGTAAATAAAATCTTTTAATGAGTAAAGCCTTTGTACTATGCTTTTTGTAAACTGACTGTTCGTTGTCATCGATTTAAAGGTTTTGATATGGTGCTTTGATCATTACGCAGATTGTATATCCACTTGTGAAACATTAATATCCCATAACGAAAAAATTCAAAAAATATTCAATAGGTTTCCTTAGTATAGCTAGTATTAAGGTTTCGCTTCACCGAAAATTTAATCAGTGGAAATAAAGCTGATTTTAAAGTTTAAAAAAGTGGGGTTGAACATAAATCCAATTTACGATAAATGGGAATAGGAAAGATTTCAAATCTCGATACGAGTGGGAGTCCCCGAAAGTATTCACAATGTATACAGTAGCGACTTTTTGAAAGCCAACCTTGGAGGGTTGAGTGAAATTCTTGATCTTTCAAAAGCACAAAATAATTTTACAACAATCAAGGTTACTTGGTAATTCATGAAAAGTAACAAGAGTGTGGGTTGGCCACATTGTACTTCATAAACTGTGATACACTAACAAGCTGGTCGAGAAGATTTGTAGCTCAGGTGGATGATTGTGGTGGTGGTGTTTGGTTCTCTAAGCTGGATGTTTTGGTTGTAAAGCTTTCATTGTTCTTCTGAACAACATCATCAGCGCAAACTTTAGATAGAAGTGAAGCATTCGAATTTCTCCACGTTTGACCTGTAGCTTGTTCTGGATCAAGAAACAGATCAAAAGGAGCATGCAATCAAAACAAAGGTGCAAACAACGACAGGTCAAAAGTCAATAGCAACCAATCAAGATCGAGGTTAGCAGAACAAGCTACAGGTCAAACGTGAATAAATTCGAATGCTTCACTTCTATCTGAAGTTTGTGCTGATGATGTTGTTCAGAAGACCAATGAAAGCTCCAAAACCAAAACATCCAGCTCAGAGAACCAAACGCCACCACCACACTAACAAGCTGTTATTACAGAATATTTCTGAGTAGAAAATTAACAAATCACCACGAAATTCATCATCCAAGATTACTAAAGTGTTAAATGTCACACAACTTTTTATCATCTGACGATAAAGTCATAAACAAATAACAAATATAACAAAATGATGTGTTTTACTTAATCTCAGCAGATTTAATAATCTTAAAAAACTTACTACAAATCACTTACACAGTTTGAAAACAATCCAAACCGTCTAGATAACATTCATTGATGTTGCATTCAGGTTGACATTTTCCATTTTTAAATTGTTCAACACATGTTTTATTGTACTGATAATTTACAATAGATTCAGTTGTTTGTAAACATTTCATCCAATATTGACAATCACTATTCAACTCATCGTCTGCATTTAAACATTTAGCATAGATACATTGTGGTTGACAAATACCATCACCTGCTTTTGCTTTATGACATTCAAGTTGAACACAATAGTCATTTAATAAATTTTCATTTTCCGAAAAATTCTTTCTGACTATATTTGTTGTTATTGTTTGATTTTGAATTAAAGTATTTACAACATTTGATGAAGAAATATATTTCGATATGTTTGTAGGCGTATTACAAATTGGTCCTGTAAATCCTAAATTTATTTTTTATTAAGATATTTTGTGAACGTATTATAAACATTGAATGAGGTAAATAAGTATGCTTTTGAACTAGCATGAACCTTTTATAGGCATATAAAATCAGTCGCTACCATTTAGATACATATTTATTCTTCATATCTGGGTTTTCGGCTGTTTAATTCATTAGAATATAAAACGTTGTAGAAACTTTGATTACTTCCAGATTATTATATTCGTAAAAATATAATCACACCTCTGTGTAATACTCTTAAATATCCAACTCATACACATTGTTTCCTCCGATTTCTGACGATTGTAATAAAGTTAATTAACAATCAAAACTTATTTCACACAAATAAAGGTGATAAAGGAAACCTGTTAAACAAAGATCCCTTTCTTTAATTTAAACTAGCTCTTCAGTTACAGATCGCAGTTGTTGACACTGATCAAGTTATAAATTATTGTTCCCTATGAGATTCAAACTCAAATACTTTCAAGTTAAAAGATTCTGTTCATGGTAATTCATCAAACTTCTATTACCTGGAGAGGGATAGTATAGTTATGAGTTTCGGAAGATTATTAGCCTCCCTTTCGCTGAAGACATTAAGTGCACACAATGCTCATAGATTTTTAATCAAGTTTGTGATTCCACGTCCACACAAAAAAGTATGGGCTGGGTAAAATCTGATTCCATTGTGAAAAAACTGTGGATCAATAAATTATTAAACAACAATAACCTAATCAACTAACCATTAGCTGAATCGGTAAGAAATTTTTTAAAACCCTCTTTATCTTTGACAGAATAATATCTGTTACAGGACTAATAATTTATGTATAGTACCAAATATCTTCTCTAGCCTTTTGAGTTTTAAATAATTAGAATGCTCATCACATACTGATCTAAGAATAACCTCATTGTATTTAACACATTACAATTGATAATAGTGAATAATGGTCACGTTAAATCACGAGTTCACCAAATTTTATACATTGAAGTAAGTAAATCTCAACTTAGTGACTATATAATATTTCCATTGAAATTATGAATCCTTGACGGTTAGCCCCTACTATTAGAAAGCTGGAAGCAGTGGACATCCGTTTCATACTAGTATGGAACTCATCAGCCGTGCACATTCACAACCCCCCACTAGCGGGACTCGAATCAATGGACTTCGGTTTTTCACGCGAACGCTTAATCTTTAACAATGATCAATTCATAATCTCCATGCCTCAGTCACACCGGAGATCAAGAATGCTCATGGTTAGAAAGTTATGAAGTAGAAATTGTAGTGGAACACTTCTACGAAGAAAACCCCATTGGTGGAAAATAAACATTAACTATTGTACTCGTTTGGTTTAACTGTACCAAAAACACTTTATTGCGCGCAACGTTCTTTTCGCGTTGCTGCCATTTTTCACAACTTGCTGCTCTCTATGTAATGCCTACTTTCTCCTTCAAATAAATACTGAAACATGGATTTATTTCTATATTACGTGACAGTAAAGTAATCAATATTTAGTGGTGATCATAGTCAATCTCGACTCGGTCACCACTAAAAAATAAATACACATCTGGTGATTGCTGGTCTTCAGTTGTTTTGAAAACTAATCACGTTTCTTGATAAGTATCTATTCAGTTCAGTACATTAGGATAATAAAATACGGTGTTCAGTTTTAGGATCAATCAATCATAGTTTCATCCATTTTAGACTCAGTATAGATTTTACTTGTTGTGTAATTGTATTGTACAGTTGCATTTGAAAAGCATAAGCAGATCATGCGAGTTCAACCAAAAGAGCTCATGATATTTATTCACTTTACAGGTTGGTTATTGAAATTATTTATGCATTTCAGATATCTGACAGATAGATTTTTCCAGCATACTTTTATTATCTTGATTGTTAAACTGATAACAAATAAGAAAGATATCAAATACAGTCTACCACATAGGTAAGAATACAAAAATATTCTTACCTGAAGGACATACACAATTATAATGATTGTTATTTTCTAGACAAGTTGCACCATTTTTACAATTATGCAACTTGCATGGATTCTGCCGCTTATCACAATACCGACCAAAATAATCAGGATCACATTCGCATAGAAAATCTGTAATATACTCTGATTTATGAATAGAAAATGACGGTCCTGAAACTGTTCTATTCTTCGATGTCAATAAATGACAAACTGAACTTTTTCCCAAACAAGGTGATGTAGGATAGCATGGATTAATTTCCTTTATGGGAATGTCAAATAAATAATAAAAGTGAATTACGAGTGGTCATTAGTTTTAAAAAGAATTTCTGTACAAATAGCTTTCTCCATTAACAGACTTTTCTTGTTTATACAAACGCACGATTCTTTAACTTGTAAATCTTAGGATAACGCAAATATAAAATTTTTCTACATTTACATTTGAAACAGTTTTCTATAGGGTAAATAAAGTACCAGGTAGTAACTTCAGCGTATTTAGATAATTAAAGATTGATGTTAATGTCACGGTTATTTCTTTGGAACCATTGCAGTTGTATGTTACAAATTTAGTTTAATCATTTGTTATGAAACAAAACACACCTTCAACCTGTATTAAGACTTCATGAATAAAGCAGTACTTTATTTTCCAATGTTATTGTTCAGTATGATGAAAACGAGCTTTGATAAACAGCACATGTAGTACATTTTAACTTTATCTGTTCAAATGATACTATGAAAGCAAGGTTAAAGCCACTAATTGAAAGGATGATGCAGAACGGATATTAATTCAAATTCATTCTTGTTGAGAACTAGTATCGCTTTGAGACTCGTAAACATATCTGCACAATCAGTCAAAGGCGAGTTGAACAGTCTTTTAAAGGAAATGAAGGTTTAATCCGTTTATCATTAGGATGTACTACGAAACCTAGGTAGTTATTTTTTTTGTAAACCGATAATCTATGCTTCACCTAAGAACCTAGACAGCATATGAATGATTGACTTATAGTTGTACTGTTTTTACCAATTTACATTTGTTTATGATCGTAGATACTTAGGGAGGCATAATAACGGTTTGAAAGTGAGAACGACATTTTCAAATGAACCTAATAGCTGTAAGGATCAATAAATTCAGATGACCTGATACCCACCACCATTTAATAAACATATAAGTTAATCTAACTCAGACTAACATTTTTGTTAAGGGCGAATAAATTGGTCTGTTGAAGCTTTAGTCATACAAATATCAAACGTCTGTTTTCTTTCACTATGAGTTTAAAAACGATCGATATTTACATCAAATAACCACTGATGGCATGAACTTAATTTTAATTTCCAGATTATTGAGATTCCTTTTGTCCTTGTCTTATTCTTTGCTCAAGTAAAACTGTGAGTTCTCTTTTTAACACTTTGATCAAATATTTTCAAGTCAATTCGAAATTCATAAATAAACAATAACAAATCTGTCTACGGATATTTTAAATATCTAGGCCTTATTCAATTAACATAAGTTCATTTATTAGACAGGAATATTTTTCACTATAGATGAAAATACAAAGACCTTGATCAGTTTGTTTGTCAATAATGAATAATCAATAAAAACACAAGTATACGGAACACAAGATTTATACAAAACAGTTTTCATTATCTATGTTAATCCTCCATTTAATATTCGATAAGAAATAATTGCAAATCTCATTGACTGACGATTATAAAAGCAAACTGTTCGTCTAATCTGAACAGAGAAATGAGAAGATATATTTTGTGAGATAGTACCATTTCGTCCTGTTTGTAAACAACTGTCGACACATACTTTCCTCGATTCCTTTGAACTTCTCCCAGCCTTAGAACACTTGAACATTTCTAATAGTCGGATGTGTTCTTTCGATGTAAACTCTTTGTTCATAAATGTACCTCTCGAAGAAACTGTGGAATTTATTTGTGACTTCATAACTTCACACAACATAAGAATACCCATTCCGACTACCTATCTTCGAGATCTAATTTTGCTCTGCACAAAGAATATAAAATTCTATTTCCAAGGTAAAGCATATACGCAAATCGATGGAGTGGCTATGGGAAGCCCTCTCGGACCTGTTTTAGCAAACATATTCATGGGAATGATAGAAAGGCAAGTGAGTCACTTCATCGATGGTATTACACTTTACAAACGATATGTCGACGATATTCTTGTCATATTACCACATTCTGCAGATGTTACTGAAGTTAAGGATTTATTTAATGCGATTTACCCGAATCTGAAAGTCACTTATGAGGAAGAAAAGAATAATGAACTAGCTTTCCTCGATATCCTGCTCCATCGCCGTCCAGACGGATCAATCAGACGAAAAGTACACCGCAAACCCACCTGGTCAGGACAGTACCTCCACTTCACTAGTTTTTGCCCCATACAATATAAAAGTTCTGTTGTCAAAACTTTATTCGCTCGAGCAAGTAGAATCTGCACTGCTGATGCATTGAACGACGAATTCAAGCTTATTACTGAGACACTTAAATCAAACGGATATCCCTAAACGTTTATTGGTCATCAGAACACAACTACGACGAAGTTGATAGCAACTGATGTGCCCAAGAAACCAGTCTACCTACAGTTACCTTTCAAGGGTGATCATTGAATGAAAATTACAACCAAACAGACTGCAGCTGTAATAAAAAAGACCTTCAGTGCAGCTAATCTGAGGCTTATCACAACAACTCAATCGATCTCAGTTACCCCAATCAAGTCTCCTAGACCGATTCAGTCCAAATCCCACTGTATTTAACAATTCACATGTAACTGCGGAGAAAGTTACTTAGGGAGAACAGATCGCCGATTGGAAGACAGGATAGGAGAACATATTCCAAAATGGTTAATCAAATCCATGATTCATCAACCCAGCCCGTCGTCTCAAAATCGATCAAGAAACCCAGCCTCGTCCATTGCAAAACATCTAATGATGAGTGGTCATCAAATTGACCCCAAATCAGCCTTTAAAGTTGTGACATGTCATCAAAACCCACACACACTGAAACTACTTGAAGCTATCTTGATTGGTCGGAAAAGTCCAACTTTATGTGTTCAAAAACAACTGTATTTGACCTTTGTTTACCATGGTTCTAGTGAGTGAATGTCATGCTAAATAAGAAATTTTGACCTTATCTTCAAAAATGTATGCACACAAATAACATGTTGCTTGTCTGTGACTGACGAGAAAGCACGAAATGGTACTATCTCTCATTTCTCTGTTCAAATTTATCAAAGGGAACCACTATTCGTCTAATCATTCCATGCAAATGCATTTGGTATGCATTTGATGTTGAAGACTTTGTGAGATATTAGTTTCTTTTCAATTATAGTTTTAAAGGATGATAACAAGAAGAATTTTATACTAAAATTCAAGGCATTTACTTAACTTTATTTGTAGTTCTATAAATAATACATGCTTTCATTTCCTTAAGAATTCATTATACTTACTGTCTCTAGACACCATTATATTATATGATAGCAAATTAGGGTTAAAATTTAAGTAGCTTTATGATTTGAATCCAGAATTGTCCCAGGGGTAAATAAGCAATAAATATATTTTAGTTAACTTGAATATCGTAATTCCTTTACTTAATATTTTAAATTTCAATTTTCATTTAGAGTTACTAGTTAATCATCTACATGTTCCTACCCATATATTCATTCCACCAAGGAAGAACTATTCAGACTGAATTTCTTCAGTAGTCTACGTATATTTCTGTAAATTGTAAGATCACTTTCATTAAAAACAACTTGTCTCTAAAAGTGCGTAATCAGATAACTACACTAACAATATATTTTTAAAGTGGATAGTTTTGTTATTTCTCATAAGGAATCATACTTGTTTAAGAGTTGCTCATCAGTGATATAAATAGTTTTAATGCAAGTATAACTACAAAGAATATTCTATAAAACTAAGTGAACTCTAAAACTAGCTATAGATGATATTTTTTGTCTAAGTCATAACACCTGCACTGAGGTATAAACAATTGATAGGACCTAGTTGTAAGTTGTATTATAGTTACTGCATAGTAGTAAGGCACAATGAAGGAAGTTCTAGTTTCATCCAAACTGAAAAGAACGACCTTAATTCTTTTGAATAGTGTGATTGGTTAAATTTTTATAGTAGCATTTTATTTCAAAGTTTCTAAGTATGTTCCTGTCAAATTGTATTCAATGAACATAGCACTTTGAAGTGCGCTGCTAACTTATGTTATAAGATCATTCATCAAACAATAACAACATTACTTTAAACTATTACGTGTCCCCAAGAAACACTTAGATCAATTGAAAATGATAAGTATTAGGATATAAGTCGCGAAATATTAATTATCCAGGAGATTTTTAGTTACCTAAGTGTCAATAATTAAAACATCAGGTGCTAAGAACATCAGTGTAATTGAATAGCTTTATCAATAAATATTGTTGTTTTCTTACCTGTTCACATCGTACTCCATTGTACCATCGAGGACAAATGCAAGTGAATTGACCAAATGGGTCAGACTGACAAGTCCCACCATTTAGACAAGGATTAAGTTGACATGGATCTCTGTATTCACAAGTTTGACCTATTAAATGCAGATAGAGAGTTACTTGAATAAAGTTGAAGACATCATGGAATAGAGTTTTTTGTTTGAAAAAAAAGTAGTTTTTCTTTGAATATAACGTATTCATGAATGAATGACAAAATAGCATTCATATCTTTTGTTGCAGCAAAGAATAATTTCCAAGAATTTCACAATAGTTCTTTGATTTTACTGAATAAATGAACTCTGTTTTTGAAGTACGTATCACAAATGTAATATTTTTTAGCTTAAGAAATTGGAAAGATTGATCGTTAGAATTGTAAACATATCGGAACTGTAAGTGTTTTGAATTAAAATATTGTAGCTGGACTTCAGATGGATAAAAACTTCTACTGCCTCTATTCATCTTTTAATGACTATTAGGTACTAGTTATGTATAGAAAACGGTTCCAAAAAAAATTCACAACTAGATTCAAAAGTATTCATAAGAAAATCAACGCTAAAAAAAAGTTATGAATTACACTTGAAAATTGTTTTCTTACTTATTTGTTATCTTTAATGCTAAGAGATGTTTTAAATTTCAACTAAAACCAACCAAATAACAAATTTTCTTCAATTATCCACCTTGGATAAACAGAATGAAGGACTTCATAGACGCCCAACTTCGGGATCAACAGGCTGGATTTCGTAAGGATCAATCGTGTACTGACCAAAGTGCAAAGTTTGGGGGAGCGGATCGGCAAAGCAAGGGCTGCACTTCTACAAACGAACAACAACTGGAACTGAAAACAACTATAAATCAACACCAAAATCAGAATTTACAATACAAATGTCAAAACAGTTCTGCTGTATGGGGCGGAAACTTGGAGGACTACCAAAGCCATCATCCAGAAGATACGAGTGTTTATCAACATTTTCTACCCAACATACTGAGGATTCGTCTACCCAACACCATCAGCAACAACCTACTGTGGGAGAGAACAAACCAGATTCCAGTGGAGGAGTAAATTAAGAAGAAGCGCTGGAAGTGGATAGGACACACATTGAGGAAAGCACCGAAATGCATCACAAGACAAGCCCTCACTTAGAACCCTCAAGATCAAATGAAAAGAGAAAGGCAAGAACACATTACGCCGACAAGTAGAGAAAGATATGAGAAGAATGAACAAATACTGGAAAGAGTTGGAAATAGAAGCCGAGGACAGAGTAGGTTGGAGAACATTGATCGGCGGCCTATGCATAACAGGCATAAGTAAGCAAGTAATCCATGTTAGATATTTAATTCATTCAGGATAATTTTAAAACAGTTATCACGTGAGTAATTCGATTCCTACGTAGCTTGATGTTCTATAACCGAGAATTACTTTACAACATTACTGCTTATCAGCTTCGTTGATGTTTACTTTATTATAAGATAATATTTATTTCAGATTTTAACCATGTTCCATCTGTCACACTGATCATATACCGTTTTTTTTTAGTAAATCAAGGTACTGATGATAAATACAGATAAAACGGGTTATCTCAAACACTTTAGTAAAAATGTACACTTACCAACATATCCTATTGGGCAATGACAATAAAACCTCATATTTGGTTTATCTTCACAAATACCGCCATTCAAACAAGGTTGAATAACACAGTCATCAATATCTTCTGTACAATTTTGCCCAGTCCATCCTTTTAGACAGACACAGTAATAGTCTGCTAAAGTATTGAATTTCTCTAATGATGCTTTTCGACTCCAATCTTGAATATTTACACATTCAGCGCTGTTTTGGCATGGATTTGGCTGACAAGGATTATATAGTATAGATGCTTCTGGTTTTGAAAATATAAAGAAAGATGCTTATATATATACATGAAATGTGATTATCATAGGTAATGAAGTCAATACAATTAGTGAATACTGAGGAACTGAAAACTGTGAATATGTTTAATTATCTTCTGAAGCTAGTCTTCTGCCTGCAAATACCACATCCACTGATAAGCCACTGATAAGCCGTTTTCTAACCCATTTTAACCGCATACAAACAAAATCGAGTTAAGTGAAGTCGGTTCAAATCTCACAGGGTTCATCAGTTTCCTCAAGATTAAACGTACGTCTGAAAGACGGACGTATATCAAACGTGTGTATATGTATACATTCCATCAGTCAGTGGACAATGAGGTTTCTTAGAAATCGTGAATCGATCAATGTTAGACCACCAGTAGAAACCTGGAAACACTGGACGGCCATTCCTTCCTAGCCTGAGACTCATCAACAGTTTGCATACACCATTCTCAGATGTTGGAATCGAACCCAGGACTTTACGTCTCGCGCGAACACCTAACCTTCAGACCACTGAGCAGTCCAGCACTTCCAGGTTTCTAATTGTGGCCTAACATTAATCATATTATGCTTTCAGTGAAACTCAACAATTTCCACGACCGTATAATGAAAGAGAATTTTCTCTCACAATTATCCAACATCCAGAAACAGACAAGAGAAGTAGTAAATCAATGAGTTAATAAACGATTTACAGTCCTATACATTTCATAACTACCCAACAATTCAGAAATAAAACCTTTGTATATAAAAGAATTACAAAAATAATGTAATACAATACAAATAAAGATATATATATTTATGCTGATATAAAATTCTGTATCTCGTCTGTCTTAACATTTATTGTAAGAAGTCATACGATTTTCGAAAAAAAAACAAACACAATGCAGACATTTGTTAAGATGTAAAGTGTGAGAACATTTTTTTTGATCCTGCTAGCTTGTTTTTCTTTGCTTTGCTAAATTAATGCATTAAAGTAATTTATTGAACTCAAATGTCGGTGAATATTTTTTTCAATTTATGAATTTTTGTCACAATAATTAAAATGAATGTGGTCAATTTTTACTGTAAGAATGTCAAAAACTAATTAGATCATGTTGAGACATGAAATATCAAAACCTTAATTATTAAATCGTTCAGTTGTCGGAATTCAACTGGAAGTGAATTGACAAACATTAAACTTCGTTATTCACATGAAGCTGAAAATGAACGTAACATCATTCATTGTATTCTTGTTGTTGGTAAATCAAAACACAGAACACTAAATGACAGTGAACTTTTAAAAAATGTACCTGAAACACTCAACATGTACTATTGAAACGTTTGAGTTGTTAAACATTCTTAAAGTTCACTGATCTGTTCGAGGTAATAATTTCTAGTCTCGATTCATCGGACACAGCTTCATCCAATTAGAAAGAAATATGTGACAGTCCCATTTAGTACTCTTAGTTTAATCTTTATATTTACGTATAAGCAACATATATATAACTATTGCCCAGATAATTAAGAAACATTTAAGTTTCATAAAATTATATATCCCCATTTAAATATCAAAAATACAGATTGGGTGAAAAAATTATCTTCCGGTGTATCTTAGTCATAGCTTTACAATAATTTATCGGTTTATCTTTTGAATATAAAATCAGCACTAAATAAAAGGTGACTGAAGTTCGCGTCGGGAAATGCCAGCAAAGCGTACTTATTACCTTGAAGGAAGTGACACGTCCTGTGGGATTTAAACCTGCGTCACCCAGACTAACAGTTTGAGGAGTAGCTATTGGGTTATTTAGGACTCAACTGAACACCTGAGGGCGCATGATATACCAATAGATATATATGAGTTTAATAATATCTATATAGAACGTAGTTGATCAATGATTTAACAGATATAAAAACAGTTTAAAAATTACACGATTTAGAGTCTATCTCGATCTATTATGTAAGGGCTGAAGGATAAGTTTGAAATTAACTACATGAATGCAAATATTTAATTTGATATGTTAAAATAATATGTCGGTTTTTAAGAAATCAATAACTATATGAAAAGAAAACTAATTATTCATACTTATTACTTAAGGGTAAGAATAAAAGTGGGAATAGGAATTTGAAAATTAAAAAGACTGAGAAGGTTGTGTAATTTTGAAATTAAGTGAAAGGCTAAGGTAAAGTAAGAGGCCAAAACAAATTTCCTTTTTACGTAACAACCAAACCTATGTATGCGTATTCCGATAGTTTCCCCTGTACATAAGAAACAAATTCTTGATACATAGGGTTGGTTCGATGAAATTGTACAAACAACTTTTAAAGCTGTTATTAAATCTAGTTAGTGATCAGTATTATCTAAATGTTTGAGAATAGAGGTTCTTATTGTTTGTATTAGTATGATAAAGCATTTGTCATGAGATCTGTACCTTTTAGATTGAACAAAAGCAAATTTTCTGACTTCCTTCTATGTTCAGTGATTAGAAGAGTTCATTATTTACTAGGTACTGATGACTTTACAGACTGTCATAAATTTTCATAAGGGTATAAAATTAGTGACTAACTCTTAACATTTCATTGACTTAAAACAAAATTACAAAAGCAATATACCAAAATATATTTCACGTTATGCAATTATTTTAGATTCTAAATAATGCCGTCCATAATGTTTGGTATAAAGTTAGCCTCTTCTACTTAATCGGCACAATAATGTCATTACAATTATGAAGAGTAAAAATATAGTGTACTGATGGCCTTCAGTTGAGTGGTCGGAATAAGGAGGGTTCCTCATCACCTATGTCTTTTTCTTTTTAAGTTTATTTCACTAGTATCTACTTCTTGAATAATATCGTCGAACCCTAAAATTTCAGATAACTGGTAATACTTCTACTACCCCTACTACCATGGGATTTGACAATTGCATCTGTGTGCTAATGTTGTTTAACAACTTGAACTGATGTACGCACGTACGAAGTTCTATGTCGTTGCTGACTGATTGACTGAACGTATTTGATGTGATTTAATACCCAGTCTACAGTAAATAATGAAGTTAATTAGTATTCTTCCCCTGTAAATCTCATCTCTGAGTTCCAGAAGGGTGATAAAACATCGCATCATAGCTGATGTTATTTCATGACGAAAACGGTAGCCCTAATTTGCAAATGGAACTCAGAACTACAGCTTGACTTTTAATATCTTACTCAAATCTTTTGATATTATATTTGGTTTCAGTTGGTGACGAAAGCTTGTTGGAGTGATAACCCTGACTCGTAACACTAGCCAAGCTCCTAATACATAAACTTAGCGTTTTTCTATTACTACAAGGAATAATTCGACATTTGAAGGCTAATTATTCAGATCAAAGCTATTATCAGGCTATTATTTTATTGCTTTATACTGGTAATTGTTTCATAACCAAGTAGTATTTCCTGACTGAATAACAGGTTGCTCAAAGTTGGCAATATGGTATACTTTTGCCGTACTCAGTTTCAAGTATATCTATTCTTCTTTCCCGGTCTTAGCCCAGTTAAATTCTTTATTCTTTCCTAGAAACAATATGCTTTGACTGTATGTATGTAACAAGTTTGTAAACAGCCGATAGAATAGGCCTCACTTTTATTTTACCAGTGTCCTACAAATATAGACGAACTGATTGATAATGTGGTGTGAGCTACTTATAAGAAGTATATGACGTGAGCGTCAGCGTAATGTCTGGCAGCGGGAGATGGGAGAAGATCAAGAAAGGAAGAGTTAGAAAACAATGGAATTTGTATGAAACGCATGCATAGTGACAATGGACTGATGTTTGGCAATAGGAACAGTCCAGTTCGATAGCATGAACTGATATTTTGCAAATAAACAATTTACGATATGGTTTTCCGATTTTACTGAGTAACTCCGTAATTTTCGTTAAATACAATTCGGTTGCCCCACCAGTATTCTCCTTCACTACAATAATACTGTGGTAAGTGCCAAAACTATAATTACGATGAAACCGACGCCTTTAGTCACTTTAATCACTCAGCACAAATTATAATTAGCTCTCAACAAATGTACAGCTTTACTTACTTGTATGGTTTATGACGTGTGTACTCTCTCAATAAAATTCACCACTGATAATTTGTTTCTAAATCGCCTTTCCGAAGTGTTTATAAATTCTTTAACGACTTAATATCAGTTAAGAGTGAGTTAGCTAGGAATGACATTGCATAATGGTCAAAAGTCAGTTGCAGTAAAGAATTGTGACTATCATCACGTTCTTTATGAGAATCGATATGCCATAACATGATCTTGTGATCGGTTATTTACTTACTCCAATAACAACTCACTACGATAAAACTGGGTATAACACGTCCTAGTTTCAATGATATTTTAAATGACATTACAATCATTTCGAAAAATAGTCAGTTACTTGTCTAAATAAAATCAAAACATTATAGAGAAATGATTAGTTGAGCACAATATTTTACTAATATTGTGTGGTCGCATGGATGTAGTGAGTAATACAACATGAGAATTACTTGAAGTAGCGTTCAAGGTCATCAAACTTGTACAAAGGTTGTTTTCATAACTATCCATCACACAGCATGTGTTTTAGTTCAAAAATATATAAATTATATGACACATTAAGAAAAATTCATCAAATATCTCTTCTCAGTAAAAAAATTTTATTTTTTTGTTTAATTATTTATTTATGAAATCATGCAGCAATAGAATTTGCAATTGAATGACCTTCAAGTTGTTTAGTAACACAAACACTTTATTTTGACCATGTTTAAACTCATTTTTCAGTACATCTGAAGAGATTCTTTACTTTAAATGAATATCACTTGAAAGGTATTGTTGCAGTTATTCTGTGTTTTGTTTCTTTATTGACAACACACTTCATATGTCTAGTCCCTTGACACAACACTGGATATTAAGAATTAGTAGCATACAATTTAAGTATGTGAATGTGAACTTTAGGTTAATCAACCATGAAACCAGAACTAAAAGCAAATGAACAGACATACTGAACATGTTTTCATTTTCTACTGTAATACAACAACACTCATAATAATCATTATATTGAGCATGAGAAAATCTTTAGTCAATTTCTAAATGATTTGGTTTTAATTTTAATAAAAGAGAATCAGGTTGACAGATTAGCTACAAATGTATTGTAATAAAACAGAGAATTCCATCTGAATTAAGGTAAATTTCTTAAATAAATATTCATTATGAACACTGATCAAGTAGAAAGAAACTATTTCAAAAATTTCTTATTATTTTTTATCTAACTTTCGTCATGATATTAGAAACAGTAAGTGAAAACCAAGAAACATTTAGACACCCATTTATCTTATCATAGGACATCTTCCGATTGAGTATAGATAATCCGAGATAGGATCAAACCTAAAACTCTAATTTGGATCCATTGAACAGATCATAACTGTCTTTCATTGAAATCAGCAATTAATTGTCGCAATTCTGTATTATAATCATAGTTATATCCACTATGAATCCTCTGAGACAGTTTAGTTCATTTAACCAAACAAAAAATGACTCATAGGAGATTAAAATGAATTTTCCATTTATCAGTACCAACTCAAGGTCAACCGAACAAGTTCACCGCCGTATTTTGTTTTATGTAGATGCAAACAGCAACGTGATAATATATACCTATATATATGACTTATTCATCTCTTTTATTGATGTGGCATGATACACCTTTTTGATAAAGGAATAGTTATACATTTTAAAAAAAATCAAAATCATTCGAGTGTTTGCACTAATCATAACTGAACAAAGAAAATACTGTTACAGAATTTGGATAAATTATGTTTGATAAGAATATGACTAAAATATCATGTAGTTTGATATTTTTTTGTAGATGAAAAAGCTATATAATTTTAATTATTCTACATGTAGATTATTTCAAGAACAAAAATTAATGAATCAGTTCTCTAAACATGATTTTATGATATGAAGAATAACTATCATACTAGGCTGCACAAATCAATATACATGGATCTCAATACAAACCTCTTTTGGGTAGAGTTTTGGAGGTTTGTGTTTTTACACATTTGAAATCATCAGTCAATCATTGTTAGACCACAACTAGAAACATGGAAGCACTGGGCGATGGCCGTTTCGTCCTGGTATGGGACTCATCAGCAGTGCGCATCCACAACTCCTGCACCTCGCAGGATTCGAACCCGGGACCTTCGGTATTGTGCGCGAACGCCTAACCATCGGACCACTGGGCCGGCATCCAACGGTGTTAATGTCTAACTCTGATTGATCTACGGATTTTGCGCGACCTCACCCATTTGTCTTTGGTAGTTACTGCCTACACCCGACAGGGTTGAACTCCATTGGTCACGTCCGATGGTTAGGCGTTCGCGCACAACACCGAAGGTCCCGGGTTCGAATCCTGAAAGGTGCAGGAGTCGTGGATGCGCACTGCTGATGAGTCCCATACCAGGACGAAACGGCCGTCCAGTGCTTCCAGGTTTCCAATGGTGGTCTAACAATGATTGACTGATGATTTCAAATGTGTACAAACCTTTTTATCAAATGTTCAAGAAGTGAGACCTTTTATTATTAGGCCTCCTTTAAATTATTTGAAAACTATTAAAATTATTAAAATATCTAGCTACTTAGAAATAGTAGAAATACAACTGCATATAATTCCGTCCTTTTTCATCTAGTTAACAATAGATAAATTATGATGAATCGTACTGCACCTTCATATATAAATGGGTTTAACTAACCGATAGTAAAATGAACGCTTTTGTCTTGTCAAAAATTACAAGAATTGAGGATAGTTATCAAGCAAATCGATTTATTAATTTGGTGGGAATTTGAGCAACAGCCACTGAGAACTACTATGGAGAACTTGGGGAATTAATAACTACTTCTGACTGATCGAAACTATGAAATAAAGTTTATGGAGAATAGTGACTAGCGGTGGAATCTAGAACGTATGTTCCATCCTATTTGGAGCTCGTCATCTGGATTTGCCTGTACCATAGAGTTGATATTCATTTCAAGACTCAAGGATAAGACCATTCTTTTGAAACACTAACGGTTTATTAAACTTGGCCACTGAGTTGCGACCCGTCTATTCTACATGAAATTATCATTATGACTTTATCGAGACAATCCACACATAGGACTCATATATTTCAACAGGGACTGATCAAATTTTTGTTAACAATTAAACAACAGGATATTCAAAATCTTCACAAATTAAGTTACGATGCCAAGTGTTTAAATGTCTTACTGAATATAATATGTTCATTGATCTACATGTATATAATCGTAATTAATAACACAAATTTTATTAAGCCGTCCATCTATATTATTTCAATGGATTTTAAAATGACTCTTTCAAATTAATGTTAGATTGTGTGCAAACGTGAATAGGCATAATCTGTACGTGCTATCCTCTAATCAGTTCGAACTAATTATTAGTCATATCGTATATAATCAGTATGATTTCTACCTTAGCTCCATTACTAATTATAACGTAAATACAATGAAATTTATTTCATTCAGTTTATTGACACTAATACTATCCTTACTATATAGAAGATTTGAAGAGACTATTTAATTTTATAGCTTACATCACAGGTTAATCTTATCGCCTAGTGGTGACTGATTTTGATACGTGACTCCTGCAGTTCTAGTGACCACCGATGACTAGTAAAGATCAACCATGTCAATGTGTATCAGTTACCTACCAACTGATTGAAACTAAGCATTTTAATCATTGGATGCCGGCCTGTGATCTAAAGATCAAGTGCTCTATTCGAGAAATGAAGCTTTTAGTTTCAACTGCATGTGGATGGGGTTGTGGATTTGCAGTACTCGAGAGCTTCATGCTTGGACAAAGCAGCTATCTAGTGCTTTCTGATTTTAATGGTTGTCTATCTAAAGTAAATCTGTGATGTAAATCATAAAATTAACAGAATTAATTAGATGAACAAACATCAGTCATTCATAGTTAAGATAGGTCTTGGTATGAATTATATCGAGTTGAGTCTTAACATGTCACACCAATGCAGAAGAAAGAATTCGGCAAAATGTAAATTATGGGATTGTAACTAATCTTGGATTCAATGGAAAGCTGAAAATGGAAAATATGGTTTGAAGGAACAAATAAAACACCGAACAAATAGTACTCAGGATTCAAAGGAAATGGTCATGTATGTGGTGAATATTTAGTTGGAAGTGTTTTACAGCCTCATCAATCAGTGATAGAATACTTACAGCTTAAGTATGACTTTCATGGGTAATGTCTCCTATCCATACAACGCGGTTCAGTATTCCCACTCCTCAATCGACAAACGATCATTTCAGCTTGTCTAGGTCAACCAAAGACTGATGAGCATTTTAGTGTTACTGAAATGAATACCCACAAGAAGCATAAATGTCGATAAAGCACTTTATCAAAATATTATGTGAAAAATGACATATTTTAAGTTAATCGAGGATAATTTAGAGTATTTTGACAGTTTTATCTAAAATGTAACGCTATTGAAATTTATTAATACATTTCATTATTGAATATTGTCAGATTTCATTATAATTTTGATAAATAGTGAAAAAAGGGGATATTCTGTAGTTGTACGGCATAGTATTGAGGATTTTCAGTGGCCCATGTACATAATTGTCATATTACCCAGAAGACAAATAAGTCCTTAAGATAGCAGGCACGATGAGAAATTTCTCCAGAAGTTACTGAATATGCATAAACTTATAAAATCTGATTAAGTACTAGGTTCAAGTAACCACCATACGATGAAGACTTATCACCTACCTATGGTCCCTCACTTACTCCTGAAGTTTCATCTTTTTAACGAACAAGCTAACATTCCTAGTTTAGTTTCTTTCTCTTTAGTTTGTGTCTGTGACATGACCCCTTTAATGAAATATTCACTTAAACAGAATGAGTCACATAATTGAATTTTGATAATTGAACTCCAAAAATTAACTTTCCTATGAAACTGGTTAGAGAACAAAAGGAAGTATATATCTTGTCTATTTGATATTTAATTGTAGCTGAAGTTATTGTGATTCACTGTAAATTGGCGCTATCAGCTGGTAAACAATGAAAATAACAAAACACAGTTAATGTGAAATAACGTTTCATCAAAAAAGGTAGGATAACATTGTAAAAAAAGGTTTTTTGTCCTCTTCTAAATTTTTAACAAGAAACTTAATAGCTCATAAAACTAAAATTATTTGTTTGCGCTTACAAAAAACTCTCAATAACCTTATTTAAGAAAAAATACAGTTCAACTCTAATTCTCAATAATTAAAAAATTAATAAACCAAAATCCAACTTCATTACACACACATCAGTCAGTCAGTCAGTTAAAACGTACGTACACCA